AAAGTGCTTTTATGGGCAGGACATAGTATGGGAGATATGACCAATTAAAGACCGATCGTAAAAAATTCTTTAAGCTAAACTTCTGTACATAAAAGCTATATTTCAGTCAAATTTTGTATCTATATCGTAATTTAGTAATAAGTAATGTGTGTTCAAGTGATTTTCTGAAGGGAACCTTGCATAGGACCGACCGCACCCATGTTATGGGCCGATCGTGAAAAAATCTTGAAATAGAATTTGTGTATACCAAACTAATATTTGTGCCAAATTTTGTATCAATAGCTTTATTTGGTAATGAGTAATGGGCGTTTAAGAGATTTTCGTAAGCTATGAGCTATGACCAATTATGTATATAAAGACAAAATTTCAAAATTCTGTATCTATATCATTATTTAGTAATGAATATTGTTCATTTAGTATGAGAGCTATGACCAAATATGGACCGATCGTAAAACAATTTTATATTGTAATTTATGTATATAAGAGCAATATTTGTGCTAAGTGTATGGATATCAATATTTTGTAATGAGTTATGCGCGTTTAAGTGATTTTCGGGAGGGGATCTTGTATGGGAGCTATGGCCAATAATGGACCGATCGGAAAAAATTTTCATAGTAATATTTCTGTATGTGAGAGCAATACTTGTACCAAATTTTATATGGATGTCTTAATTTAGTAATCACTTATGTGCGTTGAAGTGATTTTCGGGAGGGGACCTTGTGTTGGAGTTATGACCAATTATCGACCGATCGGAAAAAACATTCACAGTAATATTTCTGTGCATATGAGCAATACATATTCCAAATTGTATATGGATATCTTAATTTAGTAATGAGTTATGCGCGTTTAAGTGATTTTCGGGAGGGGATCTTGTATGGGAGCTATGTTCAATTATGGACCCACCCAGAACATTTTTTCTCTCAATGAATTCTATTGACATATGATTTTAATTTGTAAAATTTTGTGAAGATATCAGCATTCTGACGGAAGTTATTAAAAAAAAACTAATTTTCCGGGAATATGTACTTTTGTATGGGAGGTATATGAAATTATGGACCGATTCTGGCAATTTTCAGCAGGAATCAAGATCTTGTGTAGAAACGAATGCGTGATGACTTTCATGAAATTATCTTGCATAGTTTTCGAGAAAATTACATCAGAATGTATAAAAAATGCTTATTTTTTTCGGAGTTGTTTTAAATTTTGATTCATAGCTTTTCCCAATGTGAACCGATTTTGCTCATTTTCAATACCAAACTGTACCGAATAATAATGAATAATTTTACTGAATTTCGTTAATTTCTATTGCTTCGTTTTAACGTGAGCGTGTTTTACACAGACAGACAGACGGACATACCTAAATCGACTCAGAATTTCATAAGGGTCTCAGATGAATATTTCTTGGTGTTACACACGAAATGACAAACTTATATATACCCTCTATCACCTCTGATGGTGGTGGAGGGTATAAAAATATTCAAAATATATTGAAATATATTTTTTGTTTAGGCAAATTTGAATAATATTTGTTTATCACTATCCAAAACCATAAGGTAATAAGACAAAGAAAGTTTGATATTTAAAGTATTTTATTGATAAATTGAAATTTATGTATATTATTTCTTATTCCTATTCATTAGCATAAATTTACAAAATATTACAAAATTACTAAAATAAAATTGACTTCATATTTACAATTAAAATTTTTCTTTATAATTATTTCCTATTCTAAAGCCTTGGAATATACAATATTTTTCGTTTTCCCTCAGGCGCACTTGCAGGGATTGACCCTGAGATTTGTTTATTGTCATTGCGAATGCCAAACGTATAGTAAATTGCAACCGTTTAAAGTCCAATGGGATATCCGATGTTGTCATTGCGAGCCGAGGTAGTAAGACATACGTTCCTTTATATTGGCCAGTTATAATCGTTGCTTCTATTAAGTTGTTCATTAATTTCTTAACTGTTAATCGAGTACCATTACAAAGACATGGTGGATCAATATTTCGCAATAAAATAATTGGAACGCCAATTTTCAACTTAAGTTCGTGGAGTGGAAAGCCTGATAAATCAAGTGTATTAAAAAATTCTACAGGATAATTGACGACATCATCATTATTTGTAACAGTATCGATGGATTTATATGTTTTTAAAATAGCATCGATTCTATTCAAAATAATATTATTGATACAATTAACGTCAATGTTTTTGGGTGCCAGTAAAGCACGCTCACATAACCACTGCCTATTTCTGAAATTACATTGAAGATTTGGAAAAACACAATTTATTAACTCTTCCTTTGATTGTGTGATCCTGTAAAAGTTTATATTCAAAATAATATTATTGATACAATTAACGTCAATGTTCTTGGGTGCCAGTAAAGAACGCTCACATAACAACTGCCTATTTTTCTTAACATTAAATGTATAACTTTTAAAAAATTGAGTTTTCAATGGTAATTTGAGTTGAGAATGCGCAGTTCTGCCTCCATATAAAAGTGTTGCTGCAATACCTTATGACGCAATACTCTTTTGTGATCGAACTTTAGCTAAAATCAATGAGATGAGAAAAGGGTTTTCCGGTTCCTCCTGGCGCATCAATGAAAAAATCCTCCTTTTTGACTTGTAATTGTTGACATTATTGTATTGTATGCCATTCTCTGCTCTGGTTGTATATGCGGCAAATTTTCTGCCACCAAATTCTCTAAATCTTGTGGGTTGTAACCCATTTCATGTTGCAGGTCTTGGTCATTTCCTCTAAATAATAATATGAATACTTACTACAGTGACTTTCACAAAATTTGAGACTCCAGCTGTTTTAGTTTCCAAGATACATTAATTTATGTATTTTCTTTTTTTCATATCTCTAAGCTATACCAAGTGTGTTTTGCTATCCTAAAGTTCTAAACTTAAAAAACTTCCTTTACGATTTTTGAAGATTCTAGCTCTTACAGTTTCTCAAATATACGAATTTTTGCATTTAATTTATATGAAAGGTGCCCCTATTGAATGTCAGAGTTCTTCGTGCAAAATTGAGGATTCTAGCTCTAATAGCTTTCCAGATACACGAATTTTTGTACTTTCATATGGGAGGTACCAAGACTGCCTAAAAGTTGCTAGACCGCCCATTTTTGTCCTAAACATTCAATTTTAAACTAAAGTTCCTCCGACAAAAATAAGGACTCTAGCTGTTATATTTTCTCAGATATACTAATTTAAGATTTTCTTTATATGGGAGGTGCCACGCCCACAGTAGCTAGGCTGCTAATTTCATTCCATGTATTCATATGGATGTTAAAGTTGTCCATACAGAATTTGAGGACTCTAGCTCTTACAGTTTCTGAGATAAGCGACTCTTAATACTTATTTTGTAAATGGGCGTGGCACATCGCCCACTTGAAATTTTGAAGTAAAAAATAGCATATAGTTCCTTCCGGACGTACAGGAAAACACTATGAAAATTTCAGAAAAATCGCTCCAGCCGTTTAGCTGTCTATGAAGTCCAAACAAACAAAAAAAAATAAATAAACGTAAAATAAGTATAAATGACACAGCAGATTTTCGTCATGATCGGCCCTTATTTGACCCTAGCCCCCATACAAAGCCCCTTCAAAAAATGTCTTAAACGTCTAAAATTGACTTGTAACCATTTATATCGCAATGAAACTCAACAAAACTAACTGTTATTTAAAAATGTATCCATTTGTATCGCTATGAAACATAACAAAACTTAGTGTTATTTAAAAATATATCCTTCTCCCAAATTTAATGAGGATCGGCCCATGTTTGATCTATACTCCTATATAAAGCCTCATTTAGAAAATTAGTTTTTTATCAATAAATTGATTAAATACTTTGGAATTAAGGTAAAATTCAACATAAAGGTTTCTTTATGAAAAATAAAAACTTTAAAATTATACTCATGGTGTAGGGTATTATATGATCGGCCATGCCCGACTATACTTTCCTACTTGTTATATATACAGATAATCCAATGAAATAAGTCAATATACATATAAATTACTCAATTATACTTGACAACTTAAGGTCAATGATACTTAAATTTATTGATGTTTATACTTTGTGGGCTTTACTAGAAATATTCAAATTTTATTTGATTTATCAAAAAATAAAATTAAAAATTTTAAAATTTCAAATTTGTATAGATTAGTTTACTAAAATTTGATTTTCTATGGATCTCTTCATGGTCCAACTCTGATTTTTTTATATGTTTTTGTTGATATTATAAACTAATGTTAGTTAAGGAATAATGAAAATGGGAGATACTGTTTTTAAGATATCCTTGACTCAAGGACATTTTTTGATATCATTATCCTTTTTAAAACCATAATATTTCAAATAAAATATTGTCAAACTACGACACATATATAATTCGTTGAAATTAATATATAATAATCCCCATCCGTTTTTCAAAATTCAATCTAGATCGAAGTGTATTTGATTTTATAGACCTTTATGTACGCCACTAAAACATTGCAAAATAATGTAAAAAACAACATACAAACCGTCAAATGAGGCCCGATCATTATGAAAGTTGACAGTGTTATTTAGACATCTGCACGAGTGCGTTAAAAATTACTTACAAGTCTCTTGTTTATTTGTAGTGCTGTCTGTAGTGCGGCCGAAGTTAAAAAAGCATTTGATCAACTACCCAGCAGTTCGACGGGACAGTCCCGAACTGACCACTTAACCTACCACTTGTGGTGGCCCCTAGCCACCTGACTACCCAGGTGACCAACCATTTTAACATGGGCTTGTCCTACGAGGAAGTCAATCGTCACTCTACACCCTACAAAGAGACAGTCAAAAGAGGGTCAAAAATAGTCAAAGGATGGTACTCTCCAAATGGGTTCTTGGAAGTCAGTCACATTACTAGCTATTTAACTGGCGCTACTTTTCTTGCTATAAAACTAGGACATGGACGTGTTTTAGGAGAGTGCCAACTGTCCCCTAAAAGCTAGTCTAATGGACAGGTACTAGGTGAGAGTCGAATAGTATGTTACAAGTAGTTAACTATTTTTATGGGACATACGTGTTGACTATATGTAGGTGTAGTCAATTAACTGGTTTATTGTAAGCAATCTATCGTCTGATCACAACAGTACCTAGCTGCAATAAAACTGTCGCACTTAGTTTTTTACTGTACACATACATACATAATACATGTTTATAAATTGGTAAAACAAAATTAGAGTAAAATCAAATTAAATAATACTATTTTTTATTTATACGATAATTATTTAACATTACTTTTTTAGGTACTCCAAACAATAATTATATATTATAAACTTCTGGTCTTTAATATATAAAAAATACTGGATTTCATTTTTAATTCATTAAATTAGTGTAAATTATTAAATATTAACTGCCTTATCCGAAAACGATTATTAAAGTTAACAATGGTTATTAAAACCTGTTTTTATGGAAAAAGTGTGTTGTAAAAAATTGTTAACTTCAATAATCGTTTTGGAATAAGGCAGTTAAATTATAAAATATCATTTTAAAATATTTTGTTATTAAAAAAATATTTTAATTCAATAAATGTATTTTACAGCAACGGAAGCATTAAGTGTAAATTAAAATATTATACATATAAATACATTATTAAAAATTTCAGTTTGTTTCTTTTATACATATAGTTATTTATCTCGTCAGATATATTTTTATTGTTGATTACTGAAAAATAGCTTTTTCTTAGCTATTTCGAAAATACACATTCAAAATGTATTGAATGGTATAGAAATTGTAATGAAATGGTCCGTTTGTCTAATACGAACAAACATTTTTATATTGAGAACGATGATTAAATTCAATTATTTTTTATAGAAAATGTTTGATTGCATATATTTAAAAAGACCGAAATCTCAACATTATGATTAAACACAGAATTAATTTACTTTGTCTCTCGTTTTTGTAGAGCATGTCTTTTTAAAAAATATTTTTTTTGTAGTCTGAAGGCATCACGTAGTTAATGATCAGGTGTGCCAGAATTTGTTGTCACAACTATAGAATCTGAAAATAATAACAAAAAATAATGATAAACAAGTTAGAGTGCTATATTCGACCGAATCTTAAATACCCTCCACCAGCTACTTTTATATTAATCCTTTTTTAATTGATCAAATATTTGTAGAAATAAGCTTTCTCATGTCCTAAATAGAAAAACCCCAAGATTTAAACAGCTTAAATCTGTTACAATTGCAAGATTTATTGAACATTACAAACTCCATTTTCTTTTATATTTTTAAAGCGCCTTAAGATATGATTTAGCGATATTTAATAATTTGTGTGAAAGATTTAAGGAAATTCAAATTTTCGTGTCAGGACCTAGTATGGGAGATATGACCAATTATGAACCGATCGTAAAAAAATCTTTAAGTACCATTTCTGTATATAAAGGCTATATTTCAGTCAGATTTTGTATGTATGTATATCGTAATTTAGTAATAAGTAATGTGTGTTTAACTGATTTTCGGAAGGAGCCTTGTATGGGACCGATCGCACCCATATTATAAACCGATCGTGAAAAATCTTAAAATATAATTTTTGTATACAAAACTAATATTTGTGCAAAATTTTGTATCAATAGCTTTATTTGGTAATGAGTAATTTGCGTTTAAGAGATTTTCGTAGGAGGACCTTGTATGGAGCTATGACCACACAGAAAAAGATAAAAATCGTATTTGACTACAAAATTCACAGATCTGAATCCAAAATTATTCAATTTCCAGCCTATAAAGATTTTTGTCTCATTGACTACGACATTTTTAATTTTTTGTCTTGTTTTGGTTTTTTACAGTCGATAAAAAAAAAAATAATCAAATCGACTAAAATATTACTCAGTCATATTTTTACTACTTGTTTGTTGATTATAAAATTTGTTAAGTAATTAGAAAAAAATTTATAATTATTTTTATTTTATTTTTTTTTTTTTATTAAGACAACCATTTTTTTGTTGGATTTTATGCCAATTTCAATTAAAAATATCATTGATTTGACTAATTTTTTTATCAAATTAGCTTTTTCCACCCCAAAAATTTTTTTTTAAATTTATTTTTACTTTTATTAAAAAAATATATATATTATAAAGTTATTACAATGAAATATAATATGTATATACATATTTATAATTGTACATTTTAGGAACATAAATAATCAATTTTTAATTTTTAAGTTTTAAACAATGTTTTATAGTTTTGCATTATTCTTTTAAATTAAGTATTTCATTAATAACAGTGAATACTTTTGATTATTTATTTTCTGAATTAATTTCATAAAAAAATTGTTGCATAAAATTATAAAATAAATCAGATTCTATAGGAAACTCCAAGTTAAACACAAAGAATATTTTAAATAGAATATCTACAGCGGTGATTATTTGTACCATTTGATATTTAATTTCATCAAAATAAACAAAAATTTCTTTAACATTTGCAATTTCACCAAGAATTAGCAACATTGGTTGGATGTTACATTTTTGAAGTTTAAGGAGTTTTAATTTCATATCCAGTTCCTCTTTGGTTTCTGCAACTATGGCAAATGAATCTTGGGAATCTGTTACGGTAAACTTTTTTCTGATTTTGGCTCCGGCTTTGTCTGTAACTACTTTCTGCTGAGGTGGAAACAAATAATGTAGGCAATATAGAATAAAAAATATCCTCGATTCTGAAAATACTACAATAATGTAGTAGCTTACCACTATCGCACGACTTTAAATTTGTTAGCATTTTTGAAACTTTAGACTGAAGCAGATGCAACAAATTACTTTCCGTTAAAACCCACTTAGTTTTCATGTCTTTAGCTTGTGGATACTTAAGACCAAAATCTATGTCAATCTGTAAAATTTAAGTTAGTTAAAAATAATATAATTTATTGTGTAAAAAGAGTTAACTTACTAATGTATATCCGGAAGGTTTTATGTATTCAGGCCATAATTTTAAGATCTCGGATGTAGACTTTGATTCCTTAATTTGCTTAAATCTACATTGATAACATTTCCTCCAATATAAGTCCATTTCATTGTTACTATAGTGTCCACTTCGAAGAATTTGAATAGCGAAACTGGAATCTTTTTCCGGAACTAAAATATATGATAAATTTGTTTGACACGCATAATTTTTTTTAACAATAATCTTACCTAGTTCAGCAAGTTAGTGTCAGATTCTTCGTTTTAAATTAAATATCTTGTTGTAAAGTTTACCTATTTTCCCAGTATTATAATATTCCTGAAATTATATAATAGTAAATTTGAATTTATGTATATATTTTTTCATTCAAAAATTAAACCTTACCAATTCTTCTGAAGGAAAAATTTTACAGATTTCCTTACCAAATCAGCACATTGCGAAATTGATAATTTATAGCCCTTTGCTTCTATATATTTGGAAATCCTGTCAATAAGTAAATTGCGATGACCCTCATGAAGAATTTTATTCTTTTCATAATATTTTAAAATTTGTTTGCCGTTTTCAGTATCTTGGACTGAACGGAAACAAATTGTTGTTGGTTAAAACATCTTGGTTTTTCTAAATTAGTACTTTCATCAATATGCGTCTTTTTCCATTTTTCAAATTCATCTTCAAATGTTACCATATCACCGATAGGAAGACCATAAAAAAGCATATCAATATGTTTTAGTTTGAGTATTTTTAATACCTTGATCGTAATATGGTGGTCTGCAAAGATAATAAAAAATCAGTTGATATTATAAGTGAATAATTATTACTTAAGAAAGACTTACCAATAAAATGGTTATAAAGATGTTTAAGGTTCCAATCCTGTAAGAGGAGGTACAAATCATGATCAGCCACTGTAGATTCATCGGTTTCTGAAGATTCCTAAAATTCCATAATATTACCAAATACTGTGATAGAATTCTTTTAATTTTGTAAATATTCTTCCCATAGAAGTTGTAATTTTCTCCACGGGAGGGCCAGTTATTTGTTCGAAGGGAATAATTTCAAAAGAAGGAGCTAAAGTCGATATTTCGAAGGCTCCAAAATGACGGTTATATTGACTGCTAACTTTTTTGTAACATAAAGCTATATCTTCTTTTCTAATTTTTATTATATAAGCTACAATATAAATGTCAAAATCATTTCGGAATGTCCCAATATAAGATTTATTGCCATATTTAAAACCAAACAAAAATGCTTCTGAATATACACTTATGTCATTACATTGTAAAATGTTTGATATTTGTTCTCTTAATTATTTTATTAAACACATTTTGCTCGTCCTCATCACTGGTTAACATTAAATTTGCAAATTTTATTTGGTGTTTTATAGAAAAGGATTTGGTTATATTTCTTCTGGATGTTATTATATGAGAATATATTTTAAATTCTTTATGTTTAGCTTCGAATTTAAAATTCCAAAAATTTCGTAATGGTCCAGATTTTTGCATTGGATAATGAAGTAAATTGTGAAATTTTGGGGTTAAATTACTTTTGAATAAATTTTGGTAGGTTTGATTGAGGATTTAAATTTTTTTTAATTTTAGAAATTAGTGAATCTGATATTTCATAACGTAACAAATCTTCAATTAAATGAAAGAATGTTAATAGAAACTCCAACACTTCATCATTCTGAGGTATGTATTCCCCGAACAAAATTGGAAAATAATAACAAAATGACATCATTTGCCTAGCTGACAATTTAAGTTTACAACTATCTACTTCCTTAAATGTAATGCTAACTTTTTCAGTCCCTCTGTCATTTTTTAAGGAGGATGAAAAATATTTAATTCTGGTGTTAACATCATCAATCGTCAAATATTTCATTTTTTTAATAAAGTGTACTAAACAATTACATAAAATTAAGTGGCATATTCCCTCATAGAGGTCGTGCATTACGTGAAATGAAGGTATATTATTAAAATTTGACTTTGTTGCTATACCGTATTCCATTGGGGTTTCAGTTTCAAGAGCTTCCCTATAGTTTATTCTATTCTATTCAGTTACGGCCTTTTGTGAATCTTTTTTTTTCTATTAAACAAAATCTGCAAAAATATTTGGCTGAAAATGACTTTGAGAAGCCAAGAGTGCAGTTGAGTCCTAGGTTATCACCTAACATAAGGACCAATATAAAATGAATCTTTTTCGGTCCAGTTACAGTATTTGTTTCAATGCCAGTTATTTCAAGGTCAATGATTGACTCAATTAGAGCATCATAACATTTATTTCCATGTTTTTTAACGTCAGCTGAAAGTATGGAGCATGCAAGAAAAACACTATTCAATTTTGAGGAGTTCTGTGGCATGCACGGAAAGCTATAATAGAAATTACATACTGCCTGATTTTTTTGCTTTGGAACCCAATGGATTATTAATGACAAAATCGTCATTGTATAAATAATATGGAATCAGAATCTTATTAGGATATAGGGATTTCTTTTGTTTCCATAGGTCTGACTGTATGAAATAAATTTTTCTATCGTTTTTTTTCAGTAGCTTCCATATGGGTAAGAACTTTGTCAATGAAACCATCTTTTGTAAAAATCTGTTCAAACTGAAAACGTAAAGGCATTAAAGTGCCTTTAGCATTTAAGGATTCGTCAATTGAAAATACTTGTAATTCCTCTATAAGTCTTTTTTCTGTTAAATATTTTTCTAACATATAGTCTGTATTAACATTTTAAAATAAACTTTTTAAGTCGTTTACTGTAATTGTTGGAGTTATGTTTTCGACACAGTTTTCAAGAAAATTACAAATCGGTTCAATTATAAAGGACTGGATTGATTTTTGTAAAGAAATTATGTCTGAACGACTGTAATTATGTAATTGTATTACAAATTTTGTGGCGAATTCCATAACAGTTTCAAAATATTTAGTATAACAAAAAGGTGGGTTCGACGATGACTGTCCACGTTTAAATTCTCGGAATCCATACAATGGGACTTGTTTCTTCCTCTAATATATTATTTACATTTTTACACAAATTATTTTTTTTTAAATGATTCAAAACGTGTCTCTTAAAACTGTCTTTAGACGAAAATCTTTGGTAACATTCCCCAAAATTACAAATAAAATTGGTTCCAAAAGGTGTGTGTTTTTTTAAATGCACAAAATATATTTCTGCGGAGTCAAATGCCTCATCACAAAAGGAACACTTAATTAAACTTACCATCTTTATGTGGCTTCCGAAAAAAATTATAGATGTATGTACATAAATAATTAAAAAAAATATTATGTATATTTGTTTATAATCACTCTTCACTTTAAGCAAAAACGCGTATTAATTGCAATTGTAATTACTTTTATTTTTTAACAGATCACTTTTTACAAAATACGTCCGTCCACATTGACTAGCAAAGTAAAACTAAACATAAACACAAAAACATAAACAAACAAAAAAACCGTTGATAATTTTACGCGTGTCTTTTTTATACCAAGATATATTAATTATAAGGTAGTGTTATCAGAACAGCTGATCGTTTTTTGCTATTATGTTCATTTTTCGCCGTGGTGTATAATTAATGTCAAACTTTGTTTACATTTTGTAAATGTCAAACTTTGTTTTCATTTTGTTAATGTCAAACTGGTTTCATTTTGTATATGTAAATTTTGTGATTAAAGTGAAATTGTGTGATTAGGGTATATTTTTGTGTTTTTAATCTTTAAAAGTTAAAACATCAAAATAAATTATAAACAGATTCAAATTTATAAACATTTTTTGTTTAATTTAAATTCGCTTTGATGTATTTGTCAGCTGTTTTTGAAATTTTTCCCTTACAGCCAATTCGCCTTCAAGTGCAGGCACAATGTCAAACTACATATAAAAAAAATATAACCAATTCGCTTGGTATTCTGAATTCGCCGATGACACTACCTTATAAAATTAATATACCTTGGTTTATACATGATCTTTCATACAGATGTTAAACAACAACAGTATTAAGCTAAAATATGATTTGCCAAACAAAAAAAAATGTAACGTCTTTTTAAAGCGTAGTAACAGCAAATTGCATAGCAACAGCAAAGAAAAGTACAAGAAAATGCACTCGATGACAAAATTGTAGGTGAATTAATCAAACTGACTAATTTCTTTAGTCAAACAGATTAATTATTTTATTAAGTGAATTCATCGGTTGCTATTTTTCTAAAGTCATCTTTTGAATAATTATTTTATCAACTTAACTAAATTTTTAATCAAAAAATTGTCTATTTATGAAAAAAAAAAATTGTAGGCAATTTTAGAGCTCCAGTTTTTTCTGTGCAATTATGGTCCGATCGTAAAAATTCCACAGTAACATTGGCTAAATTCTGTATCTATATCATTATTTGGTAATGAATATTGTGCATACAATTGATTTTCTGGAGGTGACTTTGTATGGAAGCTATGACCAAATATGGAGCGATCGTGAACAAATTTTATAGTGTGATTTATGTATATAAGAGCAATATTTGTGCTAAATGTATGGATATCAATATTTAGTAATGTGCGTTATGTTTAGTTATGTGCGTTTAAGTAATTTTCGGAAGGGGACCTTGTATGGGACCGATCGGAAAAAAATTTCACAGTAACATTTCTGTATATAACAGCAATACTTGTACCAAATTTTATATGGATATCTTAATTTAGTAATGAGTTAGGTGCGTTTAAGTGATTTTCGGGAGGAGACCTTGTATGGGAGCTATGACCAATTATGGACCGAAAGGAAAAAAAGTCACAGTAACATTTCTGTATATAAGAACAATATCTGTTTATATGGATATCTTAATTAAGTAATGAGTTATGTGCGTTTAAGTGATTTTCGGGAGAGGACCTTGTATGGGAGCTATGACCAATTATAGACCGATCGGAAAAAAATGTCACAGTAATATTTCTGTATATTAGAGCAATACTTGTTCCAAATTTTATAAGGATATTTTAATTTAGTAAAGAGTTATGCGTGTTTAAGTGATTTTCGGGAGGGACCTTGTATGGGATCTATGTCCAATTATAGACCGATTCTGAAAATTTTTTCTCTGAATGAAATCGAATCTCATGAAAATTACATCGCAATGTGTAGAAAATGCTTATTTTTTTCGGAGTTTTTTTAAATTTTGATTCATAACTTTTCCCGTTGTAAACCGATTTTGCTCATTTTCAATACCAAACGTCCTAGGGCAATAGTAAATATTTTGGGTTAATTTCGTTAAATTTTGTTGCTTCGTGTTAACGTGAGAATGTTTTATACAGATAGACAGACGGACGGACGGACATGGCTAGATCAACTCAGAATTTCATAAGGTCCAAGAATATATGTACTTTGTTGGGTCTCAGATGAATATTTCTTGGTGTTACACACGGAATGACAAAGTTACAGAAGAACGAACATTATTGTAAGACCTCAGTGGTATAGACTATAGAAATAATTAGAGATATATGTAAAAACAACTTACGTATGCCTGCATATTAAGGTCAGTAATTGCTTCTTCGAGTTTCAGAAGTTTGTCTTCTGATGTTACAGGAAATAATGGATAGAGATCCGGATTTGAATTATTTAATTGTGAAATAATATTTTTGGTGAATACGTTTTGCTCCGCTTGCACTTCCATTTGCTCCTATCCCCCATATAAAGCCTCTTTTAGAAATTAAGTTTTTCGTCAATAAATTGCTTAAATAAATCGCAATCAAGGTATTATTCAAGATAAATGCTTTATTATGAAAAATAAATCACATTTAATATTCATAACTGGTGTAGGGTATCATATGGTCGGCCAAGCCCGACTATACTTTCTTACTTGTTTTAAACTAACTATTTGTAGAATCTATCTTTTTCGCCGTTTTAATTGTATCAACTATATATTTAATGATAATTATAATTGTAAACTAATTTTACTTAACTTTTGTGCCTACTATATTCAAGTTACTTTCTGAAGGGGACTTTGTATGGGGGCTAGGGATAATTAAGGCCCATTCATTTCAAAATTCGGCAAGGTCAGCAAGGCTTGTTTAAAACTTTGTTGTTTTATATTTTACATAATTATGAACCCATAAGCCCTTTTCGGGGGGTTCAGTTGTATGGCTAGATGAAATAATGGACCAATTTACATGAACACACGGACGGTCGGAGGGATATCGTTAAATCGATTCAGAAAGTGATTCCGAGTCAATCGGTATACTTTAAGGTATAGTTAATATTTTAGTGCGTTACAAACATCAACATAAACGAATATTACACTTCCACAAATTTTGCAAATTTGTATTTTAGATTTCAACTCACTTTGCATTTGAAGCAGCTTTTGTTCCACAGCATATTTTAAGAAAGTTATATTTTAATTATATTGTTTACTTTGCATGTTATTAAGAATTTCTTTAATATCATCTGCAAAGCATAAAATTTTTAAAACTTTTAATTTAAAACATCGTAATTATTTTTACCTTTAAGATTATCTATTTCTATTTCACAATTGCATTAATGTTATTAAAATCAATGCAATATTTTAAAATTTACAAGAAACTGATTTCTTTTCTAATAATTTTCCAAATTCTTGCAATAAATTTAAACATTCTTCTTTACATGTGTTTTATAAAAACAATTATTCTATTTCTATTTTTTTCTTTACTAATTTCTTCTTCTTCTGTTGCTTTACTAATTTCAAGTAAACAAAAGATAGCTGGTTTGCAGAGTTAACAACAAATACCATATAGCTTATGTAAAACAAAACAAAATGTACGAAAATAATCACATTGGCAACAATGTTTTCTTTAGATTGATAAAAGCTATATTAACCCATTAACATTATTAACCCATTAACGACCAGAAAGTAACTAGCAGAAAAAATATTTTCTTTTTTATGCATTCATTGTCGACTAACCACTATACTTTATATTATATAATTAATTGATTTTACTTACCTCAGTTTCTGATCTTTAGCTTCTTAAATTTAATAGGAGGGCTTCCAGAATCCGACATGTTGTTCTGCTATTTTCAAATATTATAAATTATTGTTATAATTTTATTTTATTTTTATAAATTTAGAATCAAAACAAAATTAAAGATTTTATGAAAAATTTGATTAAAATTATGTAAAAAACTATATTTTTTGTTTAATGAATGTAGAGATGTTTCATTTCGAAAATGAATTGTTTTCTTATAAAAAAAACAAATTATTTTAATCGATGTGAATTCTAAGTATTTTACGGTAATTTTCATTACAAACAATTCCATTTCTCACTTTATTAGTAATCATAATATTCCATAAATAAAGAATTTTATATTAAAATGTATGTCTACTTAATAAGTCTTATTTATATTTCCGAAAATAATTTTAAACTGAGTATTGGTTAAACCGGGAAGTGTATAATAATCTGTTACTTTTTAGAGCATATTTAACTATATAGTAAACAAGTTAAAAACAATTTCGGGACGTACTATTTTATATTTGAAAATTTATTTATTTAATTACTACAGTGAAGCATAACAGTTCTTTATTGTAAGGAAAAACGATTGCCTTACATATTATAACTTTTAATTGAAATTGTTCTTCTGAGGAGGTCTCAAAATCAGCTAAGAATATGCGTAAGCTTGCTGAATCACATGGTAGAGAGTAAAAGCTTTGTAAATTTTTAAATTTTCGTCCCACACCGTCGCCGGTCTCTGTAGTAGGAAATGATATTATATTAATAGGTATGTAATCTCTTATGAAACAATAACAGTCTGGATGTTTTTTAAATAATATAAAGCCTGAAAATATGCATTTGTTTTCAAAAACAGCTGGTTCCGTAGCATCGGATTGTATTACAAATTCTTCTTTTAAACATCTATGAATTTGCTGGAGGATTTTATTTGGTTTTCGAACTTCTTTCTTCAAATGTTGTAAATAATTTTCGAAAGAGTAAGATGAACCTGCAATGGGATCACCGACTAAATCTACAGTTTCTTTAACGTGAAGTAAACTATGAATGTTGTATGATACACTATTTTCTCCGAACACTATGGGAAAGTTTTCAACAAAAAAGTCTTGGAGAGCTTAATAATCTAGTTTTGGAGAGCTTAATAATCTATAAGCAGTGTGTAACAAAAGAAACAAGTAATATACACTATCGGACACAATAAAGTGCAAAAGTACTCATGCTATATTCTTTCAGCGATATTCAGAATTGTATTCTAGAACTTTTAAATAAAGGAAGACCATCAATATTAATATCTACAGAAGGTGGAAGTTTAAGTTGTTTTGAAAATTTTTTTAATTGGGATGGTATGCCAATATGGAGATATAAACCGCCAGCAATCGCAATGATTTTGGACATTGATTTTGAAATTTATAAAAAGCATTTACATTAAGATTTTCCTCATTTAGGATATTAATTAATGCAAGTACACATTTTCTACTTGGTCTATATTTTTGGAAACAAAATATTAATTTCTCGTTAAGAGAATTATGCGCTGTGTTTTCGATTATGTGTTCTTCTCGGATGTCAATATCAGGCCTTCTTTCGTCAGTAAAGTTATTATCTACATTTATAACATCTGTAACAACATCTACATTAGAATCTGCGATTTCAAAACCCTCAAGTCGTTTTATAAGATCTTCCTTTTCTTTTTTTATTTGTCTTCTATAATTTTTTTTGTTCATTTTGTTCAAATTGAAACTTAAAAAAAAATTATATTTCAAATAGTAAAAAATTGTAATAAGTAAAATTTTCCTAACCATGTAACAAAGCTTAGTAAATAACAGAAACACAAAATTATACAAATAAAACAATAGAAAACTACAGAAACAGAAAAAAAACGGATAAAATTGATTTAAACAAATTTTCAATAAAAATAAAAATACCTATTATTAAAAAATGTTTAAATTCTAAGATTTCTTACAAGTTTTAATATTGTATATTTATTTGTGTATTTACCTTATTTATTTCGTTTAACTTTAATTTAGATTGTTTTCTTTGAATTTTATAGTTGCTCACAAGCACATGAGATTAAAGAAATTATCGTACCAACAATAATAATTATAATTATAATAGTAATATTAATTATAATTATAATGTAAATTGAATATCCCATATTTATTACAGTGAAGTGTTTTGTTATTCTGTTCTCTTCTGGGTGAATTACTATTGAGTATGATCAGTGTTACCAATGGGATAATATTTAAAAAAGGCATGTACATATGCATACTTACTTTTTTAATAATCTTTACAACAAAAGTGTTTAAATAAAGTGACGACTTGTTGTACAACAAACATCTATAAAAATCATTACATTTTGTTACTCAATATCTGTCAAAATGTGACATCTGTTTTAGTTACTTTTACCCTTTAAGAGTCCACCGTATTAATACGCTTTATTATTTGTTATTTCTTTGTTTTTTTTTTTTAAGTAATTATTATTTCTCAATTCAATTATATTACATACATATATGTATGTATTTAAACTAAATAAAAGTAATTATGTCAATAGATTATTTATGATAGATAGAATAACTACCATCTAAAGTACAATGTAAAAGTAAGTATCTAGTGTATACTCTCTATACTATTCACGGCCGTAAAGTGACGATTTCCTTTTATTCTTAATGAATGGTAAGATATTAATGGAAATAAAAGTAAAAAAAATTCAAGGGTCTACTCTCTAGAATACTATGGGACATCAATGTGACGATTGACCCGAAAGATGTAAATTTGAGTCAACCAGATGGTGGCATATTAGTAGAAAGTAACAATCATTTCTCCCAAAGATGGGTAAAATAACTACTTTCGGAAGTACAATAAAAAAAACAACTTTTAAGAGTATAATCTCTAGGTTACTTGAGGACAGTGAAGATACGACAGTCTCCGCTCCCGCTTACAAAGAGGACACTAAAGTGACGACTGTCTTCATTCTCGATTACAAAGGGTACATTCGTGACGAATGACCTAAAACATACGAATTACAATCATCCAGGTGGTTAACTAGTAGTGGAAATTACTATCTTTTTCGTATGCATTGACTCTTTGTCGAACTGCTGGGCCCAGCAGTTCGACGGGACAGTCCCGAACTAACCACTTGTCATACCACTTATGGTGGCCCCTAGCCACCCGACTACCCAGGTGACCAACCATTTTAACATGGGCTTGTCCTACGAGGAAGTCAATCGTCACTCTACAGTCTACAATGAGACTCTCAAGAGGTAGTCAAAAGTAGTCAATGGATGGTAATCTCCAAATGGGTTCTTGGGAGTTAGTCACATTACTAGCTCTTTTACTAGTTACTTTACTAGCTAGTGATGTGTCCTAGGGGAAGTGAAGTGTCCCCAAGTAGCTTGTCCAATGGACAGGTATTGCAGTAGGGTTAAATAACCGGTCCGTCGAGGTATAATTCTAAAAACTTATGAAAAATAAAAAAAAAGTTTAAAAAAATACTTTTATTTCTAGATTAAATAAATATTGAAATACATAAATATTGTTGCTCATTTGTATCTCCAGAAAAATCAGACTTTTAAACTTTGGAATTCATTAATACATATATGTATGATTCTGAAAGAATAGAATTTGTTATATTAAGGAAATATTATTTTTTCCGTAATCTCTGCTAAAGTTTTTTGTTTTAACTCATCTCAAATAAATTCACTCTTCCAAATTGTAAATATTTCATATTTAAATTTTACAATTTTTAATCAAATTAAAAATCATTTTTTTACTTTAAAATTTACACAACAAAATTTTTTCAAGAACTGTCTTAAACAACTTATTAAAGTCAACTAACATAAAAATCAAATAAATAACTTAAAAAGTGATAAAATAGTATAACTGTTCATTGTCTTTGCACTCAGACAAAACTGATCATGTTTGTTCTTTTTCTCTTCACTTTCAATTCTTAAGTTTATTCAAGTGTCTTCTCTCTCGTTTACTCAGGGACAGTAAAGTGACGACTGCCAGTCTCTTGCTTACTTGGTGACCAGTAAAGTGGTGACTGTCTTCGCTCTCGGTTACAAAGTGTACATTCGTGACGAATGACCAAAAACATTCAAATAGGGTAGAACCAGTTGGTTAAACTTTAGTGGAAAATAACAATTGTGTCTCCAATAGATGTGTAAAATATCTACATTCTGAAGTACAATGGAAAAAAACAATTTTTAAGTGTCCCCTGACTCGTTTACCTAGGGTACAGTAAAGTGACGACTGTCTTCACTCTCGTTTACGAAGAGTACGTTGGTGACGAATAACCCAATATATAGAAATTAGGGTCAACCCTATGGTTACACATTAGTGTAAATGACTGTCTTTTACGTATGCATTGACTCTTTGTCGAACTGCTGGGTATCCCAGCATTTCGAAAAGAATAAATGCATATGTAAAAAAAACAGTAATTTACACTAATGTGTAACCATATGGTTGACTCTAATATCTATATAATGGGTTATTCGTCACCAACGTACTCTTCGTAAACGAGAGCGAAGGCAGTCGTCACTTTACTGTCGGCACTTACGTTTTAAAAATCGGCAATAAATCGGCAATTGAAAAATATACTATTTTGTACCAAAGAAACATAACACAAATAAATTCAATATTGTTTGTACATACATTCATAACTCAGGGAATTTTTATTCAGC